AGCAGCAGCGGAATCGTCATCGTCATCATCATCATCATCATCATCATCATCATCATCATCATCATCATCATCATCATCATCATCATCATCATTATCGTCATCATCATCCTCATCATCATGATATTCATCCATATATGTTCTGGCATACTTTTTCATCATTCTCATGACCTCCAGCATCTCAATCATCCTCATCACCACAACCCCCACCATCAGCATTACAAGCAACATCAATATCATCATGAGAACAGTGATAAAGATGATGGTCATGATCATTATCGTCATTGGCGTGGTCATCATGATCATAACCAACATCATGCACTGCATCGCCATCGCCATCGCCATCGTAGTATTCGTCTGCATCAGCATCATCCTCACACTTATCAATATCATCCATATCATGATCATCGTCGTTTTCGACGCCAACGGCAACACCGCCACCATCATCATCCGGATCAGGCCTGCTCATCACAGAGGTCCGCATCATTGTCCCCAGCACCGTCACCCTCAGCATCATCGCTCATCATACCCTCATCATCATCGTCGTCGTCATCATCAGCATTATCACCATCATCACCATCACCATCGTCACCATCATCAGCAGCATCAACATCAGCATCAGCACTCATTATCAGCATCATCATCATCATCATCATCATCATCATCATCATCATCATCATCGTCATCATCATCATCATCATCATCATCAGCAGCAGCAGCAGCAGCAGCATCATCATCATCATCATCATCATCATCATCATCATCATCATCATCATCATCATCATCATCATCATCATCATCATCATCATCATCTGCTTCATCCTCATCATCGTCAGTCATCAGCATCATCAAAGAGCACGTCAGGTTCATCGTCATCCTGATCGCAGATTGCTTAGTCTTCATCATCAGGTTTCATCGTTCCGCCCCCTGGCCCTTGGCACGTTGAGACGTCGAAAATCTTCTGAGGGACCCACCCGATAACTACCCAAGTTAATCTGCGGGGCTCCGCGCGAATCAGCAGCGCTCTGCCCTAAGGCGGGGGCCCGCCCGCGATTTCCTGAAAGATGCGAGTTGCCTCGAAGAGCACGCATGGGAAGCACCTCTCGGCACGCTTGCTCGCGTGCACTGGCCCTTTCTCCCGAGGTTCCCTGCACGCCCCGACGTCTCCCAGGCGCTCTCCACAGGCTCTCCAAAGCTGCAAACTGGCCCCCGGAGGCCGCCCACCAATCTGGCCCAACAATTACCTCAAGAGGCACCCAGAAGCCCTAAGAAGCGCCCAATAGGTCCCGATGGGCCTTCAAGAGACTCCAAGTCACACCCAAGACGCACGCTAGGAGGACCTCGGGATGCCAGAAGCATGGAAAGCCCGGAGATGCCCGGAGACGCCCAGAGAGGCCGGGAGAGGCCCGTAATTAGAACCCTGGAGAAACCTGGAGAACCCCAGAGAAAGCCCAGAGAAGCCACAAAGAAAACCGGAAAATAACAAAAGAAGCTTGGAGAAGCACGGAAAAGCCCGGAAAAGCGCGGAGAAGCACGGAGCCCAGAGAAGCCCAGAAAAGCCCGGAGAAACCCGGAGAAGCCCGACAGAACCCAAAAAAGCAAAGGGACGCCTGGATAAGCCGGAGAAGCCTAAAGAAGCCCAAAAAAGCCCGGAGAAGCCTGGAGAGGCCCGGAAAACCCTGGAGAAACCCGGAAAAGCCTTGAGCCCAGAGAAGCCCGAAGAAACCCAGAGAAACCCTGAGAAGCCCGGGGAAGCCCAGAGAAGCCCGGAGAAGCCCGGAGAAGCCCAGGGAAGCACGGAGACGCCCAGACGAGCCCGGAGAAGCCCATGAGAAGCCCAGAGAAGCCAGACAGGCCCGCAGAACCACACCATCAGCATTACAATCATCATCATCATCATCACCATCATCATCACCATCATCATCATCAGCATCATCATCATCATCATCATCACCATCATCATCATCATCAGCATCATCATCATCATCATCGTCACCATCATCATCACCGTCATCATCACCAATGTATCACCATGACCTTCATCACCATCATCATCATAATCATAATCATCACAACCATCATCACCGTTATCTTCGTCGTCATCATGCTCATCATCATTATCGTCATCAGCAACAGCATCCGCAGCAGCATCAGCATCATACGCAGCATCACAATCATCAGCACCAGCACCATCATCATCGTATTCATCATCACCAGCAGCATCACATCCAAGATCATCCTCATCGTTTTCGTAATCACAATCTTCCTCATCACGCTGATGTTCCTCCTGCCCCTCTTGTTTCTCCTGTTTATCCTCATCCTCCTCCTCCTCCTCCTCCTCCTCCTCCTCCTCCTCCTCCTCTTCCTTCTCCTCCTCATCCTCCTCTTCCTCTTGCTCCTCCTCCTCATCATCATCCTCCTCCTCTTGCTCCTCCTCCTCCTCCTCCTCCTCCTTTTCCTCCTCCTCCTCCTCCTCACCCTTTTCATTTTCGTATTCTTGCCTCCGCGGGTCGCACCACAGGCGCAGACCGGTGCAGTCGGGGCCGTTCGCAACCGGTCGAAGTCCCCCGGTGGACACCTAAAGCGTGCCGGGGGGGCGCGCTACGTCTAAGACGCAAGTGTAGCGGATCAGCGCGCGAGGGCGCTCGCGAGGGCGCTCGCGGGGGACGAACCTGGGGAAGGAGGGGAAGGGCAGGGCCAAGAGCGGGACGAAGCCGGAGCGAAGCAGGGACGAGGAGCGAGGAGCCAGCCAGCAGGGAAACAAAAAGAAAACGAAAGAAGAGGGAGGGCAAACAAGAAGGGGGTGAAGAAGAAGCGAAGAAACAGCGGAACCCGAACGAAAACGAAAGGGAAAACCGACCGGGGGGCAAGGGCAACCTTCCTCCTCCTCCTCTTCCTCCTCCTCCTCCTCCTCCTCCTTTTCCTCCTCCTCCTCCTCCTCCCCATCCACTTCCTTTTCCTCCTCCTCCTCCTCTCCTCCTCTTACTCCTGTTCCTCCTCCACTGCCTCCTCCTTTTCCTCCTCCTCTTCTTTTGATTATTATAAGTATGCTTAGTTTTATTGGTACCATGAGTAGCGTTAGCATTATTATGTTTCTTCTTGTTCGCAGTACTATTACAACTAATTGCATCATCAGTATTACTAATATTCATATCAGTACTCTTATTATTATCACTCGTATTACTATTATTAGTATGCTTGTCTTAGTCTTATGTGTTGATAATAATACTTTTATTTGTCTGTTCGATTTCTTACCCTCATGATTCGTACTGCTACCATCCGTATGATTAGTATGCGTACTAATACTTCTCTCACTAGTATGATTAATATTATGTGTTGTTCTTATTAGTTTACCATTATTATCCAAATTAGTCGTATTCTTTTAATCAAATTCAGTCCGCTTCATCGTAGTATTAGTCATGATATGACTATTCGTTTAACTCATAGTATTATTACCGTTACTTTTCTTATTCGTTTGATACGTATTATTATTATTATTATTAGTATTCGTCGTAGTCATCTTCTTTATCTCTTAAGTATTAGTAATAGTAGTTTTCGTGTTATTAGTATGTTTCTTCTTCGTATTATTATCGCTATCCTTCTTATTAATACACTTCCTCTGCATAATACTATTATTATTCGTTACATTCCGATTACTATAAAGCTTTCTTCTTATGTTTCATACGAGTACTCTGCGTGTTTAATATTATTCTTTTTCGTCAGTTTCTGCTTCATCATCATCCTCCTCTTCCGCCGCCCCTCCTCCTCCTCTTCCTCCTCCTCCTCCTCATCATCATCATTATCCTCCTCCTTTTCCTCATGTTCCTCCTTTTCCTCCTCCTCTTCCTCCTCCGCCTCCTTCTCTTACGATTTTTCTTAGCAGTCGTATTAGTAGTAATATTGTGTTTGCTGGTATGATTGATAAATACGGTTGCTATGTTTATTATGATTTTTCGTATTGCTAAGATTGTGCGTCTTCTTTTTAGTACGTGTGTTATTTTCTTCGTCGAAGTATTACTAATAAGTTTTCTTCGTAATCGCTCGATCATTATCATTCGTATTCTTAATATGTTTGGTTCCGCTCTTAATGATTATATTGTTCGTATTTGGCATATTACCAGTTTCGTACTATTGTAATCCGTATTGTCGTATCATCATTTTGGCATATTACTATTGCTCGGCTTTGGCAGCTTACTAAGCATATTCGTCGCTGTGTTCTTCTCATCCCTCGTCGTATCATTATTAATCGTGGTGGTAGTAGTATGAATATTCGTATCGGCATTCGCCTTCTTACTCCGTTTACTAATCTTAGTACTGCTGCTATTCGTAATGGCATGATCACTATTGTTATTAATCTTATCGGTATTATTAATTTTCGTCGTGGGATCCTTCTTCTCCTTAATATTATGGTGGTACCCCACTTCTAATTGGTATTAATAGTATTGTTCGTCTGCTTGTTTCTAATTAGCTGCATTCGTGTTGGCATTTTACGTGTCACTGATAATGTGGTTGTTGATATGATTGTTGTGTGTCGTATGTTATTTCGGAAAGTTACTCGTTTTATTGGTTCGATTCCTCTTCATGCATTAGTATGATTCGTTTATTTCATTATTCCTCCTCCTCCTCCCCCTCCTCCTCCTCCTCCTCCTCCTCCTCTTCGTCCTCCTCCTCCTCATCATCATCCTCCTCCTCTTGCTCCTCCTCCTCCTCCTCCTCCTCCTCCTCCTCCTCCTCCTCCTCCCCCTCCTCCTCCTCCTCCTCCTCCTCTCCTCCTCCCCTTCTGCCTCCTCCTCCTCCTCCTCCTCCTCCTCCTCCTCCTCCTCCTCCCCCCCCCCGTCTGCCTCATCCCCCTCATGTTCTTCACACCCCGTCTGCCTTAACCTTCCTCATCCGTCTCCTCCCCCCCCGTCCCATTTCCCATCCTCATGAGATCGCGGCCTTGATTTGATGACTGATCTCGTCGACGTTGTCCACTGTGACGTTCTCGGTGATACCCATGTCATTCAAAAGGGCTGAAATGTCCGTGATGTCGTTTTCGAGATCGGTAATGTCGATGCCGCGGATGCGGCTCCCCTGCTGCGCGAGCGAGGGCCCCGCCACCCGTTGGAGCGTCCTCTGTACCTCCTCCGGGAGGAGGCACGGCCCGTTGGACTGGCAGTTGTCGAGTTGGCGCAGACAGAGGGAGGATGGGAATCAGGAGGGGAGGAGAGAAAGGGGAGGGGAGGGGAACAGGGAAAGAGAGGAGACGAAAGCGGAGGAGACGAGAAGAGAAGAGAGGAGAGGAGAGAACGGGGGAGGAGAGGAGAGGAAGGGAGAGGAGAGGGGTGGACAGGAGAGGAGAGGAGAGGAGAGGAGAAGAGAAAAGCGCAGAGGAGAGGGAAGAGGAAAGGAGAGGAGGCGAAGAGGATAAGGGAGAAGAGAGGGAGAGGAGATGAGAGGGAGGAAAGAAAAAGAGAGGAAGAAGAGAGGAGAAGGGAGGAAAAGAAAGGAGATGACGGAAAGGATAGGACGGCGAGGGAAGGAGGAAGAGGGGGGAGAGAGAGGGCGCACCACTTCGGACAGTGTCACTGTCTGGGCCCCTGCGCCACACGTGCTATGTCTTCGAGGCTGTCCACTGAGGTTCTCGGTCTCGGGGGGGGGCGTCCTAGGAGGCGCGGCCGCCGGGTGGCCTCCCCCTCCCTCCTCTCCTCGCGACCTGTCGTCCACTGCCTCGCCCTCCCCCTCATCCTCCTCACCCCCCCCGCCGGATTTCCCTCTCCCTCCTCACTCTCGGCTCGAGTAAATTCGGGCACAGGCGCTGCCGCAAACTCGAAACGCCCAGTACTTCCGTTGAACGCATCGCGAGACTGGACACACGCCACTCTGGCGCGAAACTGATACGAGCCACCTCCCCTCAACTCTGCGCGCACAGGGGCTCCAAACGGCCCACGCCGTGCGCCCTCTGCACCACCGCAGCTCAGGCCACCGGGCAAGGGCCGCCCAATGGCTACCTTGACAGATCGACTGGATACCAACCTCGGTCGAAAAGACGCCCCCGTAGCCGCCGCACTCCAGAGCAGCGCAGCGGCGGCATCGACCGAGCAGTCGCTGCGTACAACGAACTGGCCCACAAGAATCACAACGACCTCGACATGTCCGCGACCAGCGCAAGCTCAAGGGCGAACTGATGAAATCGTGCTGAAAATTACAATATCAGCTACACCATGCTGAATTATTCCCTGACGCGCAAGACGGGTTCCAGCCGCGACTCGCCAGGGTCCAACGCTCCTGCCAACGCCCACCAGGGCAACGGCACCGCCCCAACCATCTGCGTGGACGCACAGAACAAAGATGCCCCTGTCGCCCCCGGCCCAAACAGGGTGGGGGGCGGGACATCATACACCAGAAGCATATCACTCCACTCGCTAGAAGAGGGCAACCGCCTCCTGCAACAGATTCGTCGGCAGGACAAACCCCTCGCACTAGCCGTCCTGCGGCGCATCAACGCTGACTACCCAGGGCATGAAGTCCTGATCCCTGCTCTCCGACAGGCGGCAAAGGCTACCAAGCCCACGCCGGGCCATAGAAATTGAACCATCTACCACTTGGACCGAACCAAGGTCCACTGACGTCGCGCAGTGCGGTCCAGCTGACGGCCCAGCATGGAGCAACGGCACCACATGTGAATCTGACTTTATCGCGGCCACGCCAGCGCTGGAGGACCTCTTCACCGCCCGCTTCTCCCGCACCGCCCCATCGCAAAAGACATCACGGCCAAGCGCACCCCCTACTACCGCGCCGCACACATCCAAAAGACACTCAAGCTCCTGGGCCGGCACGGAAGCGCAAACGCAGACCCGCGACGCGACCACCTTTGGCATTTAACCGGCTGATACTCTTATGTCGGGCGTGTCCCCCTACAGGGGGATTTTCGACGAACAATAAAAAATACCCCAAAAATACCCCAAGAAGGTCAGAAAATACTCAAAAAATAGTCCCCTGACTATTTTTTGACTATTTTTTGATTATTTTTGGGGTATCTGTTTTATTCTTCGTCGAAAATCCCCCTGTAGGGGGACAGGCCCGACTTAATGATACTCCCATGGTCCTCCCCACCTCTGGTCAGGGCGGCATTCAGTTCGACGCCAGCTTCCACGGCGCCGAGGGACCACCGCCCAGCGATTACATCGCGGCAGGTCGCCCAGACGGCCACCAGAACGCACTCCAAGAAGCGCGCTCGACCTCGCACAGGCAGAATGCTTACGGCGCCGCCTGCGCGGCCAGGAGAGCGGGCATCCGCGTCCAACCTGACCCCAAATTAGGTCAGACACGCCGCGATCGAGCTCAGAGGCACCGGTACCGCACTCGCTAACACCAGCACCGAATCCCGCACATCGGCCCGCAGAGTGCCGCGATAACACAAATCACCATGGCCCTCACAGCCACTGAATGGCACTGTAAAGTGCAACGCACAGGATGGGCCACAGCTACCAGAGGTGATTTTGCTATCGTCAAAACGGCCGCGCCCCCGCCAAACACCACGGCACATGGCCAAGACCCACCATCCCTTAGACTACTGTCCATACCGAGCCCCCCACCAAGAGCCCCCTCAGAAAGGGCCATCCAGAACGATCGCCTCACTAGGGATCACCGCTTCGGAAGGGCCCACGGCGGGGATGCCACCAGGTGCACCAGGCGCCTCGCCATCGCTACAAGACTGACAGGCCACCAGGCCGCACCTGACGCCACCGCCGAAGCAACAAAAAGCAGCGGCGCCCCCAAGCACCCCGCCGCACAGGAAGAAGCAGCGCGGCAACAGTGCCATGAGGACAAACCAGCGCTTCAGCAGCGCAACCAGACAGGCCACGGAACCTACAACGAGAGAGAGCCAAAGGAGAGCCCGGAACAGGCACCACTAGCCTTGCGCGAAGCTGAGGACTGCAACATGGCACAAGAGGACATGAAATATGAGGACACCAGTGCCCCGCCGACGTCGCCCAAAGGACGACACAAGGAAGACTCAGATGAAGAGTTGCTGACCATGCCAGGCGTCCAAAGGATCTGTCACCAAGCCGACGCGAGGCTTCGTGGCCTGGAACTGACTAACAGCAGCTAGCCGACACTGTCAGGCGCCGTGTAACCAGCGTCAAGCGCGGCCACCAGCCAAGCCACCCTGGCCCCGCAACGCCACCAGCTTAAGCAAGGGACTTCCTCAGTGTAACTTGAACAGACCAGCCTCAACACGGACCGAAGGGCCTACGTGTCCCAAATGCACCCGTTGGTCACGCTGGCCCAAGCCCAGACGACCCAGCCACCCCTGAGTCCCATCCACCAGCCACCAACCACCGTGGAGGAAGGGGCCGAGCGGCAGCCAGTCGGAGGGGAAGAGCGGGGACGCGACCCGACGGGCACGCCACCGAACCGATCGCGGCCCGAACCACCGCAGGGGCCTTACTGAAGGGGCCTCGATGGGCCCCTCTCACTCCCATCGAAGGAACACTCGCAGAAGAATTTCGGAGACGCCTTGCACGCCGCTGAAGGAGCAGAAGGGTCGGGCCTGTCATAGAACTGGTGACGCCGCAAGCTCCATGTCTCTAGTGTGCATCATGGTCAAAGGATTTTTGGCGCGTCTAGCTTGCACCTGCTCGCATCTCACCGCCACCCGGCAAGGTCTCCGCAGCATTTGGCTCAGCGACGCCTGCCCTGCCAGCCGCGCACTAGCGGGCACCGCCTTTCGGTTGGCGTCATCATGTGCCTCGGTCACGTCAAAAGTCTTCGCCCACGCCCAGGCCATCTTCTGCGGCACGCTTCTAAGCGACTTCGGGATCGGGGCAACCAACGACCTCCCCGACGACCCTGGCCATCGAGCAAACCACGGAAAGTGATGCGACTTGTCTTCCGCCAGCGCTGACGACACGCAATACCAAGCTGCTACTTCTGCTACGCCCAAGAATCAGGCTAACGCGACAAGCAGTCGCAACAACAAGTGCCACGCAGGGCGCCGCTACCCTATCGAAGCCACGGGAAGCGTTGGCGGCACATAAACACATGCACTATCGCGGCCAGCCCGGCAGCGCAACCACGACGACACGGGATGCCGACCAGACGCTGAGACGACAAAGAACCCACGCTAATGACAATGGGCCCCTGGGCAGCACCGCGACAGCCAAGCGACACAACGTGCACGTCCCCTGCGCGTCGACGGGACGTCACGCACACGGGCCATCAGCACCCCACTCGCCGGCGACGTTCCCGAACGGCACGACGACAAGGGCGCCCGGAGACACCGATCCCGGCCGCCCCCAGGCCGGGCGCCCTCTGGCGAGGACGAGCGGGACAGCGGGGCAAAACGACACCGGCCCCGAAGCCCACGAGGCAGACCACACGGACAGCGACGACCCCGCCCAAGACCCCGAAAGGGGCCGCAGGCACGGCCGAAGGCCGAGTCGAAGACCCAGACGACGGGCGAGGCTTCACGCAGGCAAATAAGGCACGGGAGCTCCACACCTGCCGGAACTGCACGAAATCGAGACTGGCGAGCCGCCAGCGCCAAGCTATCCTCGACCGCATCCAAGGCCGAGGCCCAGCCGAGATACGGCCACCGCGGGACGAGGAATTGTAGGCTTTCGACGAGTTGGACGAAACAGCGCATCGCACGTCTGAAAGGAGACACGCGGCATCCAAAGTACGCCCCGCTGCTGAGAGCCACGCGCAACGACGGCGCGCCTCTGGAACGCGGGCGCCACAGAGAAGCTCACGACCTCTGTCTCACTGCGCGGATAGCACACACCTGGCCAAGGCTTTCAAGCGCAGGGCCTTCAGCGGATTGCTTACCTCGTCGCCTACGTCTGGAACTTCCACGGCGAGGCTGCAGCGGCGGCGCACCAGCAGACGCAGCAGTCCACCCGACAACACGCAGCAACAACGCAGCCGCTCCGGGGCGCGGAGCTCAGCAGCTGGGCACCCACCGGCCCTCGCACAACACGCGCCCGCCGCCACCCCCCCGCCAGGCGCCCCGCCGAATGCAAGCAGGCCGCCCCCACCAACAGCGGCGAGGGCGGCAGCTGACATCCGGGCGCCCCAGGCCCCACCGGGGGAAGCGTCGCGCGACGATCATCCCGGCGAAGGGCCCAACCACGCGCGGA